AAAAAAAAAAAAAAAAAAAACCAAAAAAACCAGAAACAACAGCAGAATGAAGTACAGTACGACTTCCTGGATCACATAACTGTGGCCCATGTGGAGGGGGGTTTTCGTAGAAATGAGTCACCTGCTTGCAAGAGCTGATCAAACATGTCCACAGAAGATTTGACTTTTCTGAGCCTGATTCGCTCCTTCAGGGCAGCTTCACTTATATCTTCTATCTGGGGTTCAAAGCACTCAGGCATTAAACACTAGGAAGACAAGATGGCTACTATTACTACAAAGAGGGAGAGGTGAGAGGATGACCAAGTAGGACCAAACTTCCATCACCAACACCCCAAGATAAAATTTCACTGCTCCAATTCAGTTTTCTTATACTAGATATCATTCACCACCTTATCATGAAAGCTAAGTAAGAAAAAATAAGTCAGAAACAAGAACTATTTAGCCATTTTCAAACTTGATTAAGAATATTTAATCTGTATCCAAAGACACCTATACTTTCAACTACAATTCCCAAACTCCAGCTGACTTTACTTTTACACCTGCTAAAAACCTTTGTTCTCTCTTTACTCCCAATTTTAATTAAATATGTCAGAATGTATCCACTTTTCAAAGGCAGGAAATTTTCATTATGGACAGTTCTTTTCTTCTAAACATTCAATACCACCACAGTATGATTGCACCTCATGAACTACTTTTAAAATTTACTTGTCAGTATATGTTTGCAGTAAATTCACCAGAGGGAGTGTGCACATGTATATAACACATTTTGACTCTTTACTTCTCTTTCTTCTCCCCTCCATCTCTTCGTCCTCTTCATTCACCAATTTACTCAAATACTTTTTTTGGTACCAGGGATTGAACTCAGGACCTTGAGCTTGCAAAGCAGGTGGTGGAACCACAAATCCCCAGCCCAACTGAAATACTTCTGAATGGGTACAACTTTATTCTAGGCATTGCTAGGCACAGGCGATACAGAGATGAAAGAAAGGTACCCTCTATCCTGAAAGTACTCCCAGTCTAAAGGAGAATGAAGAATTACCTAGGATTTACTGGGAATAACCCAGCAACAGAGTTTCTACAAAATTCTGCTATGATTTGATTCTCTAGTGGCAAAAAAAATTCACAATACAACATGAATGGCACTGTCCACCGTAAAGGCAGGGAACCTTTGGACAACTTTGAACATGAGTGCCTTGTAGCTAAGTGCAGGAAAGTGAATGTCAAAACCAAAAAAGGGACAGGGCAGAACAACAAATGATCATTCCACCGTTGCTACTGTCCTAGTTCAGGAATTTAAAAAGAGAAAATGAGCAAGGAAACTTACAAAAGACACACTGGGAAGAAGTGGACAGAGAGCTAATAAAAGAGACTGAGGAAATAAAGTGACAGAGACAAAGATCCATGAGTGTAGTGCCCAGAAGCCAAACAGGGAAACAGAATGAGGAGCAATTAGATACAAAAGGATTTCAAAAGGTTAGAAATGCTTTTCATTTTTTAAAAAAATTTATTTTTATTTATTTATTTATTTTAAGACAGGATCTCACTAAGTAGGTTCAGGCTGGCCTTGAACTAGGGGTGATCTTCCTGTCTCGGCCTCCCAAGTGCTGGGATTACAAGCTTGGGCCACCACACCTGGCTGATTTAACTATTAAGAGAATTCAAATGGCTACTTAAATTTAACCATAAAAATTTGATTTACATTTATATGGGATTATGTGAAAAACAAAACTACTTCATACCTGTATATGAGGTTCAGCTATGTCCTTCTGAAAGTATTTGGAATGTGATTTAATAATAAACTTTGCTGCATTTTCCCCGGACTTCTTTGCCAACAAAAATGAACGCTAAAAAAAAAAAAAAGGTTTAGATAAAAATTGGCATTTATGTGTAACCTTGGTTTAAGCAAGTTGAAAGTTATGCCCTCAGTAAGAATTATTCTCATCCTCCAAACAAGAAATGCAGCAAAGAATGGAAACTTAATAGAAATTAAATCACTGTACTTCCTTCACATATCTAACTCTTCTACTGAGGATGACATAATTTCAGGTCACGTACACCTCAAAATATGTAAAACAATACATTTAAACTGAATGGTTTTCTATAGTGTGATAAAGCTCTAATATCAAAAGCCAAAACCCAAAACTCCAGAGACAATCTCTAAATCTTTCTGATAAAGCAGTAAAGGACTCACAAAATGTAAACACTTTTCAAAGGCTTTTTCAATTAAATTATGTATATACTCTTATACTGAAACCAATAAGATAAAAAATTACGCTGGAGAAAATACATGAAAATACTCACAGATTCCACAGCAGATGCTGGTATGAGGTAAGGATCATCTTGAAATGAGTAAGGGGCAGCTGTGGGATCCTGTGGGGAGAACAGACATCTTTTTTTTTTTTTTTTTTT